TTTTTTTTTTTTTTGCTCGTCATTTTTTTAAATTTATGCTTGTTTTTGGGAACGTGCAGAGGGCTTTTTCTATAACTCTGATATGCCGGAACGTTAATTTGACGGCTTTTTATTTTCTTAATCTGGAAATTTTGTTTTTCTTAACTGAACATCAGTTTAGGTATCGGGTACCATTAAGGGTATCAGAAGGGCTCTTCGCTGTGTTGATATTTGTAATGAGCGGCGAAGAGCACTCGGGTGGAAAAGAGACTGTGATCAAAAAAAACCTAGACGAATTTGGTGATTCAGGTGATAAGGAACCCTTCTCTTCGGATGTCTCGCTAACGGAAGCAGATATAGAGGCATTAAAAAAATTTGTGGAAGAGGATGTTGAACCGCGGATGGAACGTGTAAAATGGCAGGAGGATTATCTTTCTGAAGATTCAGATATTGCCAACGATGAATCATTAGAAAAAACGGTTGAAAGCCACGCAGAGCTGTACAAGTTGATCGAAGAAATGTTCCGCTATTTGAGGACAACAAGAGGTTATGATGATTTGTTTGGTGAAGTGCGGACGCCGTTTAAGAAACTTCCGAAACATGATGCTCGTGGAGAAATGGTTTTTCTAGCGTCAGAAGTGCTCATTAAAAGGTATGTGGAAAATTTTAGTTATTTTAATTTTCATTCATTTAGTCGTTAATAAAGCGTTTAGTGATAGATGAATCTAACCTTTTTTACTGTTGGAATTGTAGAAGTAAGTGAAGGACGGAAGGTTACGGAAGAGTATTTTTTTTGTTTTTCTTTTTGAGCGAAGGTTGCAGAGAGGAGAGAAAGGGGAGTACTTGAGTTCAAAAATTGAGGGTTTTAGGGAACAGGTTGGAAGAGACAGCAGTTTAGTAAAAATTTTTTCAGTAAAAAAGGAAGGATGCAGTAGCGGTTAATAGCTCTTCTTTACAAGCTTTTTTAAGAGCATTTATTGTGATCCTGTAAATGATATTTTCTTAGAGTATTCTTTTATATAGCTTGGTTTTTTATGTACTTTTTATCTAACTGTATAAAAATTCGGCTGAAGATACTGATACTTATAGTTTTTGGAAGTATAAGAGGATTAGGTAAAATTGGAAGTGGAGAGGTGATTGAAAGATTTTTTTGATGAAAAGAATGAAGCTGATTTTTATTTCCTTGTTTGACACCTGCTAAAGCAATTCTTTTTTTGGCATGAATAGAGAATATGTGACTTTTAAGCAGATTTCGTAGTGTTCATTTTGAATGCTTTCTCGTAACTATATCGATATATTTTTTAGAAACATTCCTTTATGGACGTCGCACATGATAGCGTGCGCCGTTGCTGATGAACATGGTGATGAGTTATTTACTAACTACACACCGTATGATGAAGAAGTTTATGATTTAGTAGAAGAACCTTCTGTATGGTACAGAACAATGTTTTCAAAAATTGAAGACTATATGTTAGAAATAATGGATAGGACTAAATCTATCCCAGGTTTTACCCTTGTTTGTTAGCCTTTCCGTGGTAGAAAAGACTTTTTAGGCTAAAGTTTTTGAGCTTCTTACGACACCCATACATTTGCAAATTGATCATAAACTATTGAGATTCGTAACATGTTTGTTGTTCTTGTTTTTAGTAAGTACCTCTCAAGAGTAAATGTTTAAATGAATAAATGTTTTAAGAGAAACCGAAAAATTGGGACCAGTTACCTTACTCTTGTTGGGGCATGAAGAATCTCCGCCGGAAAATGGAAGATAGAGTATCAGTTTTCCCAACCTTAAGCGCAATTTTGCCACAGAAGGTTTGTTTTATTCGTAACCCACTTCGGCTAAGTGGGTCTTCTGCTTTCCCTCTTTATCCACTAAAGTAGTCCATGTTTTTTATGCCGTTTTCTAATTAATCTACTATATCATATTTACCTCTAATCGTTTTCAAAAGATACGGTTGTACATGCTTCCTTGTTCATCGCTTTTTGTCACGAAAGCACTTTAAAAGTGGATCATTTATTTCTTATCACAGTTTATTAGTTTTAGGTGATTGAATTGTTTTTTCAACCTTCTATTAATGATTGACAGTTAATGGTTGTTATGTTTTTGAGTTTTTCAGGAAGGAGTGGTTGCAGAAGATGGCTTTTTTGCAGTATTCGATGGACATAATGGTTCTGAGTGTGCCACTTATGCATCTGTTCATCTTCCTATTTGTTTTGTTGAAGTTCCGAATTTTAAAAATAAGTCTCCTGATGAGTTGATGGTTGAAGCTTTTTCAAGATTAACAGAGCGGCTGAATGCAAGGATTCGTCATGAGGTACACTTGAGAATGGGAATACTTATTCTTAAAAGATTTTAAAGCGTATCGAAAAGTAAAAGAAAAACTGATTCCTTTCTTTATTTTTGTTTTATTTTTTTTCTCTAATTTGTTGGAAATGGTATCCTCTGGAAACAAGCATAAAATTACTGGTTATTTAAAGGGTGTACATTATGGATGGATTCAATTTCTTTTAGGGATATAAAAGTGGTACAACTGCAGTTTGTGCACACATTGCTGGTAAAAAAAAATTATGCATTGGATGGTGTGGTGATTCCGGCGCAGCCCTTTTGCGATCTACTTCTGCCGAATTGTTGAACAAACCTCACATTCCTGATGATCCGGTATTTGAGGAACTTTTTTGATATTTACAAGACAATGAGAAGATCAAACTGTGCTTTTTAAGGTGCTTTTTTTTGCAAAAAATAGAATGTAATCTTTAAATAATTTGTGACGCAGTTTCACTTCTTTAACTCTAGGACGAGGCAAAAAGGGTTATGGATGAAGGTGGTTTTCTTATCTTTATAAATGGTGAATTACGTGTTAATGGGGTCCTGAACATTACACGTTCTCTAGGTAAGATGAACACGTTGTTGGTTCTTTCTTTTCTTTTTTTAAGGTATTATTAGTAACTTGTTAAATTATTCTTGCATCTGTATTTATTTGTCTATTTATTTTTATATAGTTTACTGTTATGATTAGTTTTAATGCTCCAATGTTGAGCTCCTAATCTTTAATTATCAACACATTTGAGTGGCTTAACTGGATGATCACTCTCAATTGTTAGATGTTTGATCTGTTACATAGGTTTTAACAAATATTTTGTAATAAGAAGTTGATGCCTTGCAGGTGATCTTTCCGCTGGAGAAGCAATTTCTTCTGTACCAAGTACACTTACTGTAGATCTGGACGGCAGTGAATATCTTTTGATTCTTGGTAGTGATGGATTGTATGATGCGTTTGATGGGAAAGATTTGTTTGATCGTGTTGAAAAGTTTGTTAAAAGTCGTCCAGCTAAAGGTGAGAACTAGTGATTTAGATGCATGAACTATCATTTTTACTACCACTTTGACAGTTTTTGGCTAAGAATTACTCACTTGATTTGTTTTTTCCTTGTTGCGCGAAATATTTCGTCAAAGAAGCCTGCGTAATAGCATTTTGTGCTACCGACCGTTTCGGCAATTATGTGGATCGCTACAACACTGCAGGACTCTTATTTATCGGATTCTGCTTAAGTCGGAAAGCATTTTAGATTACAATGAGCTTTCGAGGTACCTCTGCAGAGAAGCATCAGAAGAAGGATCGTGTGACAATATTACTGCAATTTGTGTATTCTTACGACCAGTAGAAGATCTCTGGAAACTTTTTTGTTCTAGCCATTGATGAGGCATTATTTTCTGTTAAAGCGTTTTTTATTTAATTTTTGGCAGCTGGGCTAAGATGAAAAGTAACTTGTCATGTATGGACGAATTTTGTGGTATTGAAGATCTTTTTGTCAGGTTGAAGGCGTTGATTAGTTTGAAATCTGTTTTAGCATTATTCATCACTACAATCGAAATTTGGATTTTAGTCCTAAAATTGTTCATGTAAGCCTCTGTGGAAATGCTTTTCAGTTTACTGCTTTTTAATATCTACAGCTACTGTTGTAGGACTTCATCTTACTGTAGCAGGAATTTTTAAGTTATCTTCATTGGTTGGGGGCATTGCAAAACGTTTTATGTAAGATAATGAAGCCTTGGATTTTTCTAGGCAATGATTATTTAATGAAAGAGTTATTACAATTTCTTCTTATTTCTGAAGTGCGGCGTATGAAGTTTAAGACTGTTTTGTAAATTTTTTTTGGTATTTGAAAGTTAAGAGTGTCAGTTTTTTGTCGTTCTCTTCAGTTTCAACTAATATGACTGTAATCTTTTGAGCTAATAAAAAAAATTCTCTGTATTTTATTTGCGAATTTTTCTGGTTCATATCGGGTATTAGCTTCGCAGATTTGTTATGTTAATAGAA